TCTCTATTCCAGCAAGTGGCACCATCTGTATCACCATTCTGCAATCACGCCCCATTCTTGCCTTTTCCTCATTCCACATTCAACTAGTCACCTCAATGTGTCAACCCCATTTCTGAGAACATCTCAAATTTGATGTTCTTTCCTACTGCCCTATCTATGGTCTCATCTTATCTGGACTTCTATAGCAATGTCCAAACTGGCCACTATTTTGTCCCAGAGTAATCTAAAATGAAAATCATTCTATTTAAAAATCACCCACAGGAATTCCCTGGTGGTCCAGGGGTTAGGACTCTATGCTTTCACTGCTGAGGGCCCGGGCTTGATCCCTGGTCAGGGAACTGAGATCCCTGCAAGTCACACCTTGCCTAAAAGGTATAAATAAAAATCATCCAGATCCCCTATCACCAGCTTCTCAGCCCAGACAGAAGGGCTGTATAGCTGGCTGCCCCAAACCACTAAGAAGTATAAAACATCCCTTGGATATAGGTGTAAATATCGTGCAAGTTGACTCACTTCTTTGTATCATTTATAGCCTTGTAAAACAGCAGCCAGACTGATGGGACGTAAGCAGGCCTTCCGATATCTGAGGCACCATTCAGAGCAGCAAGAGACAGAATTCCTAACAGAAATGCTCCTTCCCCAGCCACAAGCCAGCTTACCAGCCTTGGTGTCAAGACTAATCCTTCCATTAGCAGAACCTCAGGCCTAAGCCTGTCATGGGCTACACTTGCCTGTTCCTCTCTACCAGATTCCCATTCACTGCCACTACAGTTCCCACTAGCTCTCCCCTGCTCATCTGAGCCAACATTGCTCCCTTCCCAGGCCCTCCGCTGTGACCTCTGGGCTCAGCCCCCAGCCTTTTCTCTGAATGTTCTCTTACTCTCTCTCTAACCAGACTCGTGCCTAGGACGCTACTTCCCTTGAAGCCCTTTCGGTGATGACTTTTTCCTTCTTCAACACCAAGTGCTGTGTCGTCTGGTAGTGGGCTAAGTCTATTACACCACTGCCACTTCTAAACACAAATTTTCTTGCAGTCCATGCTTTCAAGCTAAGCCCACTATCCAGCAGCATTCCTTCACATTCCTGGGCCTTCTCCACACCCACGTCTACCAACACTTGTGGGAGCTGCAACACTCACTGAACACCATGGTCTATTTTTGACCTCTTCATGTCCAGTACTGTCTTCCTCCTCCTGTCTTCTACTCACATCATCCTAACCTGAACTGCCACTACCAGTAACTGCCACATGTCTCCAGGCTGAGTATGCCAGGCTAAGGCCACCACCTCATATTCTTCCAGCTCCCTTAAATTAGTACTCTTACTCCATTGGGCCAATTTGGAATACTTGCCAACTCTTGGACAACTCCAATCACCAAAGGTGGCTTTGTACTCTTACTGACTTTGGCTACCCAGGATTCACCCCCGGATCTGGGGATGGGGGAAGTGGATGCTGGGGGACAATAGCATCAACTATAATCTTGCATTCACTTTCACTACCTTTGCTTTTTTCCTCCTGTTAGATTCAGCTGGCCAAGCTCTGGTTAAACCCAACCCTCCACCTGCTGGCAATTCTATTTCCCTGGTATACTTTTCCCCCATTCTCCAAGACAACTACACCTTTTTCTCTCCTCTAACCTCCAACCTCTCTTCTTCCTTTTCTAAAGCCCACCAAAATTTTTTTTTTTTAAACTGAACCTAATCTTTTTTTTTTTTTTTTTTTTTTAAGTTTTTTTGCTCTGGTTAAACCCAACCCTCCACCTGCTGGCAATTCTATTTCCCTGGTATACTTTTCCCCCATTCTCCAAGACAACTACACCTTTTTCTCTCCTCTAACCTCCAACCTCTCTTCTTCCTTTTCTAAAGCCCCCCAAAATTTTTTTTTTTTAAACTGAACCTAATTTTTTTTTTTTTTTTTTTTTTTTAAGATTTTCTCAATTTTATTTTGGCTGTACCCGGTCTCAGCTGCAGCATGTGGGATCTAGTTCCCTCAACCAGGGATTGAACCCAGGTCCCCTGCTTTGGGAGCATGGAGTCTTACCCACTGGGCCACCAGGCAAGTCCCTTACTGAACCTAATTTGAATAGATGGATTGACATCATTCTCAATATTCATGAACACGTAAATGTCCATTTTTCTTTAATGTCTTTCAATGGTCTTGCTTCCTCCCAGAGATTTGGAAAATGTCAGTCCTAAATATATTTCCCTGATACTACTGTATTTATTATACAAAATAAATTTTAGCCATTTACTATTACTAACAAATTATCCATTCTTGACTGCTAGCTCTTTTGGTTTATTACCACTACCACCTATTCCTTAAGTCTTACCTCACTGCCTAGGTCATCTAGTACAAGGTTCAACAGAAACCATAAGCATGCTCACCTAATTTTGACCGGAACAAAGAAGACAACATGCCCTTAGCACTTTCTGTGCTCTCTGCTCCAGTCACATGCGTCTCCAAGAACATGAGGTATTCATAACCCTTACAGCTGGAGAACCAAACTCAAGGATAAGTGCCAAAAGCTAAGGAAGGTTGTCACAGGGCAAATCACTGCTGCTACTGCTGCAAAGCATTGCTTCCACCACCCTTCTTCTAGTAAACAGTACTGACTTACCCAGAGTCTCATGCTGGTGCATCTAAACGGCAGACCAGGTTCTAAACCTGCAGACCAGCTGCAAGACTGAATGCACTCTCTCAGCTGTCAGAGACTCACAGGCTACCTAATCCTTACACATAGTGAAATGAATTCACACAAGACAAATACACATGAAAAAATGTTGTTTGCAACACTGGCAGCAAGACTGCACCACAAAAAACTTTCTTCCTTGCCATGGTTTTCAAAATCACATTCCAACATTATTGGGTTATGTAAGCATTGTTGGCATCATTTCCACAACATATATACTAATGTATGCAACTATATAAAAAAAAACACTACATACCATCAGCAGTGTTCAACATCCAAAGAGGTGGTCCCAAATTCAGAGAAGGCATTTCAAAGTGTTGACTGATATTAGCCTAGCCCACTTGCCTATTTTTTCCCCACTTTATTCATCAGTCTCCTGAATTAAAACTATCAGTGCAATGCAAATCTCAGTTCTGTAAATCCTGAGCCCATTCTGGAGAGGCACACAGCACTGCATGACTCCCGGATATGCCACTCTAGCCAACTCTATAACCCCAAGGCCTCAAATGCTGGCCAGAATGATCCAGAATTAGTCTCTAGACAGCAGTCATTAACTATTCCACAAAGGAAGCCAAAGGGCATTTTAATAAGACATTACAAAAGAATAGCCAGAATAGGCTTAGGTTACAAGGGTGCTGAGAACAAAATGAATGTCACTGACCTCTATGTTCTTTGAGCAGACTTCACACAAGCATTGCATTACTTGTGCCCAGGCAAAGGAGCTGTGTTAACCAAGTACACCAGTCTCTGTGGCAGGCATCTGATAACTAAGGTGGGTATCCTTCAATCCACAGGCTGAAGTAACTCACAGTAGGGCACAAATAAATGGCTTCCAAGGATTAGAGTCCAGTTAGTCTCCACCAGACCATGCCCTCTCTCTTCTCCTTTACCACTGCCTCCCAGTAAAAACAGCTCACAGAAAGGAAAATGGCCATATTACCGTAGTAAATACTTTCTAATTTTCAGTATGGGCCCACAGGCATGCTACTCAATAAAGGATTACACATTTTTAAAAATTTCCTGAGTAAATACCAATGAGTACCACCTATCTACAGATAGATTTAAGCTAATAAGGGTCCTATAACCAGTTAAGTACTTATAAACTAAAATGAAACAAGGCAGAAATATACACAAAGACAATTATTTAAGACCTTTATTAACAGGTGCTTGCAGTTTGTTGACTTTTTTGAAAAAATCAAGCTGTAAACTTTTTATTACAAATTAAAAATGAGGTTCTTAAAAATCTCAACTTGACCAGATATGAAACAATTTAAAAACCTTTAAAGGTGTATTGAGAAAAACCAGACTTTTTTATTTTTTTTAAAAAACACGTTTGTCATTACCAAAAAGAGACGTCTTTAGGTAAAAATAATAAAAACCCCATGCTGCATAGATAATGCAGATAGTTCTAGTTATCTGGTCAACAGGCAAAAAGCAAGCACTTAAGGTCTTCAGCTCCAATCTTTTGTTCATTTCTTATTGCTGGAATTTCGTACTCATTTCTTCTTGTTGGATGACTAAACTGTAAAAGAAAAAAAGTTTTAAAATTATCTTGTACAGTTCACTGCAATTTTCTTTTAGTACACCAAACTGCTCCAGATTCAAATAAGCTAAGTAGGGAAGGCATTAACAAATCTCATACTGGTTTATCTTAACACAGCAATTCATAACAGGGGTGGACCCTGCTGTGTAACAAGAATGTTTACTCCTAGGTTCTGAATGACCTTTTGACACTCAGAAAATAGTATAGAGGGGGGTATCAGTGGCTGAAAATAATAATTCTAGTGCCAAATGCCTCCCAGAATCAAGTAAAAAGGGAATCCCTTGATTTTGGAATTGATGATACAATGCCAAAGTTGTCACCTTCCCCAAAGAGACCAACCATATTGGTCACTATCACCTAGGTTATTAATCCTAGTAGCTATCCCACTTATTTTTGAAAAATGAAAAATAATGCAATGTAATTAACATTACTTGTTAGGGTAAGGTTAGCAAGACTTCCCTCTGCTTACTGGTAAAATCATCCAAAAGGTTGACAAAAGGCCCTCACATTCAAGATACAATGTAAAGCTAGGCCTCCAAGTGTTAGTGAGCCGAAGTATGGCTCTGATACGCGCCATTACCAAAATGGGATATTCAGGTCATGTTATGATTAGTTTGGGTAGAAGATATTGTATGTTTAAGTGGCTTACCTTACCTGATGAACTGGGTTTTTTTCTCTTTCATTAATGGACACCACTCATGACTGCTCAGAGGCCAGAAGGCCATCTACACTTACTTACCCGGATGATGGTAGAGATGGTAAGCCGGCATTTACTCAGCCCCGCCCTGCTCAGCCTCGGGAGCGGACGAATTCTCAGCTGGTGGATCGGCTGCTTTTGTCTCTTTGCCATCTTGTGGTTTAGGGTTTTCTGGGCGTCTGCGTCGGTAATTGAAGTTGCGGCGGTACCGACGTTGAGGTGGCTGCTGACCTTGGGTCTCATCTCCTTGATTTTCCTTATCTTCTTCATTGCCGTCCTCTCTGGGCTGTCTTTGGCGAGGAGGGCCCCTGGAATGAACATTGTGCAAACTTGCAATGATAAAACCTTCTTTCTTTAACCTAGCCACCAGTATTAACACATCTGGCCTTTCTGTTTATCAAGTGGTCTGCAGGCAATTTAGCAAAATCAAAAGAGCAAATTTGGCTTTTATTTCACAAATTGAGTGTGACTTGGGAAAAGGATTTGGAAGTATAAACTGGAAGATGAACGCTTAAAACTGGTTTTAATAGTCTTGTAAACTTTTACCCATAGTATAATCTATTACAAAGTTAGCCACGAAAGGACTAAAGGTGGTACAACACTATCAACACCTTGATGTCATTTAAAAACATGGGCTTTAAGGCAACCAGGTTTGGGAACAAGTGCTAACTATCCTTTATAGATGAACACTTGCTAAAAATGCAGGAAGTCAAAACCAAAGAAGAGATGCTCTCTTCATATAAATGAAAGTACACAACAACTATTAGTCACTGGGAAAGGCAAATCAAAACCACTTCATACCCACTAGGATAGTCATAATCCAAAGGCTGAAAAATAACCATGTTGGGGAGGATGTGAAGAAACAAACCCTCAATACACTGCTGGTGGGAATACAAAATGGTGCAGCAGCTTTGCAAAACAGCTTGGTAACAAATGTCAAAGAGTTACTATATGACCCAGCGGTTCTACTCCTGGGTCTATAGCCAAAACAGTGTCCATTATGTGATTACTGTATTATTCACAACAAAAAAAGAAACCCAAATGCCCATCAACTGGTTAATGAAGAACAAAATGTGATATTCATACAATAGAACATGACTTGGTCATAAAAAGAAATCAAGTACTGATACATGCAACAACATGGATGACCTTAAAAATATGTGAATTGAAAGCCAGACACAGAAATACCCGAAATAGGCAAATCCAGAGACAGGGAAAGCAGATTAGTGGTAGCCAAGGGCTGGGGCAGAGGGGAATGGAGAGTGACTATTAATGAATACAGGACTTTGGGGGTGGCGGACTGGGGGAAGCGTGGCGGTGATGAAAATGTCTGGAATTAGATGGTGGTAATGGCTGCGTAACTCTGAATATACTAAATACCAGTCAGTTGCATGCTTTAAATGAACACCAAGATTAGTATCATCCTTCTATACCTATTATAGGTCATAATAAGCTCTAATTTCCTATTTAGATCCGTACATTCCATTTTTCACCTCTAACCCTTCCAATCTCCCACCTACCTCTCCCAACCCCACCCCCACCCCTTCTCCTGAAACCATTTCCCCACATTTTGTGAACTCATGACCAGTCTTCGGCAAAACTGCCCTGTCTTTCCCCTGTAGCCTCCAAGTGGTGGCTGTCCCACCCCTATCACTGCGGCTTCTAAAGTGAATTCTAAAACCCCAAACTTTCAAATCTTATGTTATGCCATATTCCATTTACTACACTTTTCCTGTTGTAATTATGACAGTCCCAAATAATATGGGCTTTCAGATTCTTTACTTCCCATCCAACTCTTGTTTGCTACCTAGGTTTTCTCAACTTCAAGCATTCCACTCTCTAATCACCCCTTACTTATTTTCCCGGTTTATTCCAGGTGTCTTGTTCTCACACTCTATTTCCACTAGGACCTATAATCCAATGATCCCATCACTCATTCTATCACTTTCTCTTCCTTAATCTGTTTCTCCCCTCTTTCTCCAAGTATAAAGTCCACCATTAATCATTATAACCAATCTCAAACCCAGTCATCTTTGGGGTAGACAAATGCTGAACAAATCTAACTCTATGCCTGATCTGAGGCTGCTGCTCAAAATGGCTGGAAAAGTACAACCATGTTGGGTGGACCCACTTTAAATTTGTGAACACTATTATTTGATTTCCCCTATTTCTCTTCTAGAGATAATTTCACATCTTTGTCCCAAACCCCCCAAACCTCTCTCACCCCTCTCTCCTTTTGACTGCACTAACATACCGGGGCCCATATACTCTGGCTTCTTACACACGCAATGCCCATGGTTTCCAGCAAAAGACTAACCCACTATTTGTGGACCAAATCCTATCCTAACTGAAGACAGTTCTAGCAGTTACTTCCCTGACAACTGTCCTCTTTTACTACGTTTTCCAGCCTACAAATATGCTCTTATTTGTCAAACAACAAAATCCTTTCTTGATGACACATTTTCCTTTATTGCCACCTCATCTGTCTCCTTCTCAGCAAAACTCCTGCTATATTGCTCTCAGATTTCTTACAATTTGCTCTTGGATCTACATCAATCAGAATTTCACCCCATGGATTTTAAGTAGCATGTGTCATTTGAACAAAAAATCCCTGGCTAAATAGTTTGGAAAGCCCTGCGTTCGTTGATACTTTAAGGCAAATCAATCTATCTACCTTATCTATCTATCTCACCATAGCAATTATCTCACACTGTAATACTAGTCTATTCATTCAAATGAGACCATTTAGTCTAACTTAAACCAAAAGGCAAACAGTAAAACAGAAGCACTTGACAACAAAAATTCACATGCTATTTTTAAGAACACCAATGAAACTAGGTACAAAATTTAAGCAGCTCTACAATGTAAGAAAAAGTAGACCAAGGATTCTGCCCTTGGAATTTAAATGGATAGACTGCCATGAAAACCTATTTTAGACCATTTATCACTATCACAGATAAACATTATCACTATTTAAAAACATATTGTGATTATTTGTAGTATTTCAACAAGGTAACTATGTCTAGGTTGAAAATAGTATACTACCTGTTAGTCTTAGAGATCACATCTGGAGACTCAATGCTCTAAGACCCTTAAAAGAAATAACTGCTACAACAGTCAATCCTAACATCATGGGACTGGGAACACTGCCTCAGTGTGCTACATATATGTATAAACGTGTCTGACTCATGGAGCTCTTCCCCAATTACTCTGTACGCTAATAATTAAATACCCTCTGTTAAAAAGATATGCTTACCTTTTACCTTTCTCCCTCCCAATGAACCAGGTTTTAAAGTTATAATACAATGCAGTTTAAACTACTATTTTCTTACCTGTTAAAGGACAGAAAATGTGCAATTCCATACCCTCATTAGAGAAAAACAACAACAAAACCAACTGCATAAAGTAGACCACATCTATAAAGGTGTTTTTAACCAGTGCCAGCAAAGATGCAAAGAACATATTCTCAAAGATAACTGACTTCAGGTTCATCTCTTAGGTATCTGATGAAAGAAAATGTGAAGTGTTAACAGATAAACGACTGAAAAAGCCTGCAGAAGAAGCATGCTGCTGCTGAGTCCTAATACATGCTTAAGAAATTTTAAAATACAAACCATACCTGCGGAATCGTGGTCTATAACCCCGATACATATTCTGTCTCACTGGTCTACCTTGTTCTCCTGCACCCTGGTTGTCAGCACCCTGAAAAGGCAATGGAAATCAAGCCAATACGGACCAGTAAAAACCCAACCAGACAGAAGTCTGAATACCACGGCAGTTAAAAATAAATAAAATCGCATTTACCTCCATCACTTCTCCCTGCACAGGAGGGTTGGAATACTGTGGTCGACGCCCATAGGGTCTCCGCATGTAGTAAGGTGGGAACCTTCGCCTGCGGTAGGGCCGGCGCTGTTGGGCCTGGCCTTCAGGAGCACTCTCCGATCCCTCATTCTTTTCCCCACTCTCACTATTCTGGTAATTCTGCTGGTAATTGCGTGGAGGACCCCTGCGACGTGGATAGCGTCTATAATGGTTACGGTCTGCTGCATATTTACTGCCTTGTACTGGAACTCCACCAGGGCCTGTAACATTTGCTGCCTCTGCACCCTACAAAAGCCATCATATATTGATAGTGACAATGGAATTAAGTACACTTAGCAAAACTTACACAAAGCAAATAAAAAAGGGTCTCTGTGGCCAGGGGTGCATAGAAATGATTAAATATTAGTTCCTCACTGTTCTGAAGAGATAGCCCTCTAACTGCAGCCAGCACATTAGGATTGATGCACCTGTGTTCAAGTGGTCACCTGACCCATCCATCCACATTAGAGCCACCATCCTAATGGATGAGATCTCCAAAATATTTCCATACTGAAGTCAAACCTTTACACAAAAAGCATCCTCACCTTTTCTCCTTCAACAACATCAAACTCCACAGTCTCTCCATCTCCTACACTGCGAAGGTACTTCCTGGGGTTATTCTTCTTTATGGCAGTCTAGTAATATCACATTCCAAAAATAGATTAACAGGGGAGAATAATGTGCTTTTTCATTTAAAATGTACCAGAGTCAACAATATTTTAGCTTGGATATACACTTAAAATTAGCTTTAAATAAGACCAAACCATCAATAAATTTAGGAAAACAGGGACCAATGCTACCCCCAACCTCAACCAAAATACTCCAATCTTACAAGGCCCCAGCATTTTACCACTATTTTCCAAACTAAAACAAGTAATTTAACACTCAAGACAGACACTATATAGATATATATTTTAAAATGCTTTTTGCAAAAGCATTATATGTAGCTTTGAACAAAATGAGGATATCCATCTATCCCCAAAGACTGCACTTAATAGTAGAAGCTAGCCCCACACAGGGCCAGTTTAGATGACAGGCGAGTTTAGTTTTGCATGCTTCAAAGTTGACCAAACCAACTTTGTCCCTGTGTTACCGTATCAAACTCAATTACAAATGTCAACCAAAATCCCTTCCAACCTGACTGTGGTAATACTTCGATGGAAATGCAATTCACATGAATTAACTATGCCACTTTTAATATTCCGACTGCCTGGGACAGTTGGTTATTACCTCCCCAGAATACATTAAATCTCACATTGTTACTTGTTCTCCAGACTTCTACGACAAAGTTAAAGGGGAAGAATAACATCTCACGTTTGTAGTACTTCCATCAAGTTCTTCCACACATTACCCACTCAATCTCATTATGACAGATGATGTGAGGCATTATTATTCCTCTTTTAAGGTAATAAACAGGCTTTAGAAAGTTAGGTGACTTGCCCAAGGTCACACAGCTAATAAGTGGCAGAGTATGGACTTTTCTAAATCCAGGTCTTGGGACTCCAAATCCCATGTTCATTCTACTACATCACAGCGGTATCCCTTACAGGATCACTCATGCATTTCCATTCCAGAGGAGGCAGGACAACCAACAAATCTGAAGCCAATTAAGCTAAGTTGCCCAGAACTGCAGTCTCCTTGATACACCACCAAGACCTGAGCAGCCAAAGTCCTAAGAAACAACTAAATGTTGAAACCACCTCCAAAATAAAGAGGAAAGCATATTGGTGACAACTTGTGGGTTGGTACAAGCGGGTGATATGCATTCAGCCAAATAATTGATTTCATCTGTCATCTAAACTGTCACAAAGTTTTCATACCTTTCATATAACTCAATTATCTGCAGTCATAGGGGATAGCACAAGTATGGGTAATTAAAATCCCAAACTCTTATTTTGGTCAGCATTTTCAACGCCCTCCCCAATCTTCCCAAACCCTTTACTGTTGCTCACAGGCAGCAAGACTGGCAAGCTTGCTGTCTCTTGTACCTAATTCTGCAAATTCATTTGAACATGCAAAAGGGAAGTAAGGAACAGATTAAGTGTTGGTATTCAATTTTATAAAATAAACATTTGCTTTAATATAACACTTTGCCTGAGCAGTCCTATATTTGTTTAGAATTTAAAAGTTTCCATGCTTATGTCTGACCCTGTGATTACTGGACAGGGCTTTTGATGTATCTAGAAATTGATCTGGCTTCCCCCTTGATTGCCACTGAGTGCTATACAGGGCACTTCAGAGAGCTACAAAACACCAACCTAAGACAGCCCTTCCTATGAAGTATGCTGCCAGCCAAGCTCATACCTCCCTGAATAAAGGCATGAGTGTAGACTGACTTTGTCTTTTGATGTCTACATTACAGTATGGTGGCTAAAAAGTTCTTAGAGTGATTTTCAATACAAGTTGACAATATTTCAACAGTTTTAGCAAAAAAACAAAACAAAACAAAAAACTGCAGAGTAAAGTACACATTTATAAACATTTTTCCTACCCACTGCATTCCTATGAGGATAATTAAGTCCAGTGGGGCCTATGATATACTTAAGGTTGGAATATTAGTGTTCATTTGGCAGTGGCTTACTTTAACAATAAACTCCTTAATGTTTAAGCATTTTCCAAAATATTTTCCTTAAATGGTACTTGTGGGGGAAGTTCAGCATGTAGCACCTATCCTGTTATAACAGAAGGACCTATGCTACGTTTGCCAGTTTTTCAACATTCATTTCAAATTAATATATTTTGCAACTTTGGCTGATTTCTCCCAGGATTACTGTTATCTGTCCTTACCATAGAGGTAATTCTAACAGCATCTTGTCAAAGTTTCTGTGTATATATAGCAATGGTATTAGTTCAAGTTTAGATTAATGGAGGTTTTCAGTTCATCTGAAATTAGGTTTCAAAATTTAGTGTAACAAGTAGAGCAGATTCAATATTTTAAAAAGCTATAGCCATTAACAAAATACCAATGTGAAACACCTATTTTAATTAAGTAAACTGCCAATATAAGGTTTCAATGTTCACATTTAAGCTGTACTACCCCTCTTCCTGTGGGAACTAAATTGTTTGGTGACTGGACTTAACCTTTTTGCAAGGAACAGTAGTTGACAAGATATCCACCCTTTTCTTCCCACAAGTCTTGAGACAGAAGGGTAAATATCCACACGAGCACTCACCTGGTGTACAAATACATCTTCCTTGGTGTCATTCCTACAAGACAGAACCAAGTTGAACAAGTTATAAAATTGAACACTACATTTCATGTTGCCAAAGATTAAGAATACACTTGGTCCTTTCTGCACTCCCCTCCCCTTTTTAGAGACTTTCTCGGCTGCCAACCAGCCATTAGGAAATTAAGAAACAAAACAAAAACACAACCAGTAAGCCATCTACCCTAGAAGGATTAAAGACTAATAAAGTACGACCTACTAAGCTATTAAGAGGATAGAAGTGACTAGCAACATACATTCTGTCACTCCTCATCCTACTGAACAGCGTTCCTGCACGACCCACTCCTACCTCTAATAGCACGGTTACTAACTTAAGTAGGAGAGATCATGAACATATTCTCTTCCATTAATTACTAGCTTCCTTCTTTCTCACTTCATCCTCAATCATTTCCTTTTTACCATTTCCAATTCCCAACTTTCCTTGAGGATCGTAAAGATGACCACAGAATGGACAATACCAGGAATGAGCCCTAAATGTAAATTATGGACTTTGAATGATAATGATGTGTCTGTGTAGATTTATCGATTGTAACAAATGTATCCCTTTGGTACAGTACAGTGGGGAAAGTCATGGGTGCAATGTGTAGGCCTGGGGTATATGGGAACTATGTATTTTCTGCTCAACTTAGCCATGAACCTAAACTGCTCTTAAAAATAAAGTACGGATTAAAATAGAGGGACAAGATCACAATGAAGTACAAATATGAACACCACCAATACTGACATCATTCACACGGCAAGCATTGTTTGTGCTGGAGAACTAAGGAGGTGAAGATGAATGAAACTTTTTACTAGCACACACAACCCCCTTTTTCACTTCATAAGACACCATTTTACACAAATCTTTAGTCTGTTCCTAAACAAATATGGTTGAAATATTTGCTTCAGGACTTTACAAGTACCTATTAAAGGAGGCAACATTTGCCCTAAGTCTTAAAGGAGTTTACTGGAAAATGAGAAAGATGTTCCAGGTGGAGAGGTCACGGACATGGGTAAAACCAACAATGAGCAAATTAAGTGTAAATTGGGTTCAACCTAGAATATGGCTAGGGCTGTGGCTGTGTGGAAGGGTGAATATGGGCTAAATCATCATGTAGGTAGAGAAGCCAGTAAACACTTTTATGGAGTGGACATATAAATTATTAGATAAATTAGAACACGATAAATTATTAGGTGTTAAAAAACGGTTGCTATTACGGAAAGTTTGAAGCCAAGAGGAGACCTGTTAGTTATAAAAGCTACACCATAAGTCCTGACTAGGACTGATGGAGGCCTGGACTAAGGGGCTGTGTATGAGGGAGTAGACTTGAGATATTGTTCTTGAATTAATATGGGAAAAACTTTGTGGATGAATGGAGGCTAGAAGTCAGGGGGCAGTGGTGAATGATCTGAATTTTTAGCTTAGAGACTGGAGGTCACAGTAATGATACTATGAACAAAAAGAAACACTGGAGGAGCAACAACATTTCTAGACCTTTATTGATTTACCCTACCCTACTGTGAGTAGGTCAGAGTTGAGGAAGGACTCAATAGTAGTTCTAGTGTTTAATGACAAAAGGAACAAAGGTTACAATGAACTAGCCTGACTGGTTTATTGACTACTGGCTCCTTGCTGATCCATGGAGTAATGTATGCACCAAAGAATCCATATAGGCTTGGATTATCATAACATGAGGACATTCAATTTATGGAAACAGGATCGATCACACACACAGAGAGAGAGAGAGAGAGAGAGAGAGAGAGAGAGAGAGAGAGAAAGCTGCACGACTGAATTTCAAGCTCTAAGGCTGTTCCAAAGACAGGGGGTACTACTTCCATTAAAGGGAGTGAAGGGTATACGACTTGCCAGATGACTAGGTAAAGGATATTTGGTACTGGACTTTCATGTGTAAATTAACTGAGTTTTGAATATAGTATTTTACAGTTTCAATATGCATTATAATTTCCTAAAAAATGCAGCTTTCAAGAGAGGGATTTTTCATTACTGACAATAATGTTACCCATGTATCTGTGTAGCCAATACATTTTTTCTAATGTAGTTGCGAATAGACATTTACAGATGGAAAATATTATACACCACAATAAAAAGAAGTAAAAGCAGTTACCTATGAATTTTACTTCAGGGCTGCAAAAGGAGTATTAAAAAAAGTCACCAAAACTACCTCCCCAGTCAGGACAATCTTAAAGATAGTACAGACAGGCAGTACACACAACATAAATCATCTCTTGGAAAACAGATTAGGGAGAGGTTTTCTGGGTACAGAGCTTTGTGGAAACCAATATATGTTCACTAATGATGTCATGCCAGACAAGGTGATACTCATTTATTCTGTTGTCACTAAACCAGTCTATAAGAGAATATATCATGGTCAAAAGATATATAGATTTTAGGGGACTTCCCGGGTGGAGCAGTGGTTAAGAATCCACCTGCCAATGCAGGGGACATGGGTTCAAGCCCTGGTCTGGGAAGATCCCACATGTTGCGGAGTAACTAAGCCCATGCACCACAACTATTGAGCCTGAGCTCTAGAGCCTGAGAGCCACAGCGACTGAAGCCCGCAAGCCTAGAGCCCATGCTCTGCAACAAGAGAAGCCACTGCAATGAGAAGCCCATGCACCGCAACGAAAAGTAGCCCCCACTTGCCACAACTAGAGAAAGTCTGTGCGCAGCAATGAAGAACCAATGCTGCCAAAAAAAAAAAAAGTTATGTAGATTTTAGGGAAAAACTTGACAGATCAAAAAATGTAGTTTTAGCCAAGCCATAATACTACAGTATGGACGCAATAAATCAATCTAGTTGCAACTTGTTAAAGGACTACCAAGAAGTTCAAGGCACTACCAATAGGAAACCTGATTTTTACTCATTCTACTATTAACAGCTGTGTAGCCTTGGAAAGCTGCCCCCTCCTAACTGGATCTTTTCCTTCACCCACAAAAGGGGAAAAGCTTAGACACGTAACAGCTTATACTGCAGAGGGTTTACGTTCCAGATACTGTGCCAAGCGCTTTAACTCTTTAGATCATACCAATCCCAAGGCAGATGCTTTTATATTAACCCCCCGTTCTACAAATTAGGAAAATGAAGTATGCGGTCATCTGCTTAGAGTGGTAGAACTTGATTCCACAGGCCCTGGGCTTTATCATGTTGAAAACTCAAAAAGGACCAGTTTGGAAATCTTTACATATTTCAGCTGTAGAAGCAGATAACAGCATATGGTTTCTCCAATTTTGGGAGAGAACAACAATGAATAACAAGCATCCCTACATCCTCACCTGTAGTACACAAAGTTATTCGTATAATTAGACCAGGGTTCTGCTGCATATTGCGCCCTCACATCCCTCAACACTTAAAAAATGTAAAAACCATTCTTTGCTCACCAGCCAGATAAAACCAGTTCTGAGAGGGTTTCTTGACTCCTGATCTATAGTAATACTGGAAAAAAGGCATGTCATGGCTACTAGAGATCTTACTGAAGAGGGAAAAGCAGCAATTAAAGATGACCAAAATGGCTCATCTAGAAGCATGTTTTAACCTTTAGCTATTTAGTAATGCAATGAGGAGAGAATGGAGGCATCACCAGCACTGCCTCTTACCTCCTGAGAACCAAGAGGCATACTTTTCTGCCTTTACCATACTTTAATGAGGGTGGAAGGTTAGACACAAGCCAAAGTATGAGCTCCAACCCCATGGAGCCAAGTCACTGAAAACAGAGGCTGCCATTCTTCTGTCTAGCACTCAGCATACTACAGGAACATGGTAGGTGCTCAATTTTAAAGTATCTACCGAGTGTCTACTATTCATTAACATTAGCCAGCTCCAATCTACCAGAAGCCACTGGGCTGATGATGAAAGGATAGCAAGCCCAAAGGCCTCATTCAATTCTTTAATACTGTTGGGTATTTACTTGTGCTAGTTAGCTATCTGGGCATTGTGCTAAGCACAAGAAATAAAAATAAGATGTGGCCTATCCTCAAGGATTTCTATCTAGAAGGCCACCACTATTCAATCTAAGGCAGCAGCTGAATTACCAAATATGGTTTTCTACATGTTAGAGTATGTTAAGTCATACTAATCAGAGAGGAAGGAGGAGAGAGGGGCAAGGTGGGATATAGAACACAATCGTTAACAGCTCCTAACCAGAACCACTGGAGCCAAGGTTGGAATCCTGGCTATCCCCATTAGTAACTACATAATCTTGGGCAAAGTGCCTTATTTGTAAAGCCAAATATCTAAGTTTGTTTTCTAGGAGCCATAATAAAAAGTAAGGACAAGTAAAACTAATTCGATCATTTCAACATACATGGTCAACATAAAATATTGAAGTATCTTACAGTAATTCAGTTTCTCAGATGCTTAATAGCCACATGTACCTACTACTGTATGGGACAGCATAGACTTACAGTATTCCAAGTGTCATTCCACGTATCACACACCAGTCCTCCCATTCTCCTGCAGTCAAGCGTACTCTTTTTGCTGTATTCTTCTACTCCGCCTCTTCGTATTAACAGATCATTATTTACTACTGAAAAATTTTTAATGAAAACATACTTTTCTCACCTATCTAGAAATATAACATTGTTCTTATTCAGCAAATAACACAGCAGTGACTTCAAGGAAAAAGAAATCACACAGATAGCAAGAGACTTTAGAAAAAAAGGGGATACCATTTTAAGTTGAGAATGCCAAAGAAAAAGAAATCCTGCAGGGATCTAAAGAAAATGGAAGTCTCTTCAAAGTTCCTAATGTAGGACAATGAAGGTATGTCTTTTTATGCCTCCACCCCCTTCCACCCCGCCCCATCCCTCCCTTAGCACACCACCAAATCTTCAAGCCTTCCCTAGTGCCACAACACTTACTCATTTAGGTTACAGACTACCTATGATTTCTTGGTTCTTACTGTGCAATCAAGTTATGATCAGTTTGACTTTAACAGCCCAAGAGACTTGGCAATCATCTTTCCACAGGACTATAAAGTTAAAATTAACAGGGTTTGTAGGGTCACAGACTGTTGTATATTTTTCTTTTTTAACAACACTTATAAAAAGGCAAAACCCGTTCTTGGTTCACAGACCATATAAAACCAGAATGAGTTTAAAGATAAAGATCTAATACTCTCTTTTAATTCCTTAATTGCCTCCCAATATTAGGTATTAAGCAAGTCCTTTACTTCCTAAAGACAATCTGCACGCTGAACTAGAAATATATTATAGCAATCCCTAACTATATGAAACAGGCAGTGAAAAGCAGAAAGCTTTTCAAATCTGGGAAACTAGTAGCATACAGCTCTAGTGACAAGCTAGAGATCATTTAAGAAGAACCTTTCAATGGCCAAGAATAACCCCTCTGCCCCCATTACCTGTAGAAAATGTAGACCATGTAGAAACAACCAAACTGAAGACGACTAGGGTCTATTTTCATAGACAGCAATAACAGGAGTTAGCGCACACAAACTCCATTGTCAGAAAACAGAGTTCAAATCCTAGCTCTACCACTTAGCAGCTACACTTCTGGGGCAAGTTTACTCAACCTCTCTGTGTTTCAGGATAGTACCTATTACCTGAAAGGTTGGATTAAATCCATTAGCTGATTTTAACCATTTACTATAGTTCCTAGCATAAATACTTGATAAACATTAGCTACTCTTATCACCACCATAATGAAGGATCAGTTATATACATGTGGAATCCCCAATAGGTAGGGCCCACGCAAAGGGAGACTAAACCTGACAGCCATGACTAAGTATTTTTTCTAAGGAGGGACAGCTAAGCCTTTCCCTGCCTTGGTTTATTAAACATCATCCTAGACCATGGGTAAAAAGTAATACACATAAATGCATATAGGAAGGGAAGTCAACAACAGGAGAGAACTAAGCCTGACAGACTGTCATAAAGAGAATGCATGCCTCATTTACAGGCGGTAATACTCATGACCAGCTGATTTTCATTTCCATGGAACTAAAGACCCCAAAGCTAAAATACAGCTCTTAAAAAAAGAAGATACTCTGATCAGGTAGGCCACCAGTTTGTGATCTCTTCTCTGTTTGATTCTTTTTGCTCCAAATACCTTGCCCAACCCTTACAATTCAGCTTTTTAAGTACTCTGGATAACAGAAAAGTATTCCTATTCTGGTCACTATAAAAAGATTCATGTCCGACTGAAAAATAAATTGTTACTGATTCATGCTGATCTTTCATAAGTTTGGTGAGCATAGATTAATCCTCAACACCTGGAAGCAAAAGAGAACATCAAGTTTCTAGATTTAAAAGCGGAGAATCAAACCCTGAAACCACTGACCCCGTGGCATCCTTTTAATGCCATCTTCAATAGTCTTGAGTGAAGTTTATCATAAAATGAAAAGTAATTTTGGGGGGTTAATAAACGCCCCCAGTCACATAATCCAATTATCTTTTGCAGACACAGCATACAAAGGAATAACAATGAACTCCTAGACTACATAGCCTAACAAAATAAAACCAACATTTTTGCTGTGTTAAAATCTTTATACTCTTATTTAGCACCTTTCATACAATGAAACCCTTTAAAAAATAATTCTAACAAGGCTATAACAATTATCACAAGCAATAACACAGACTGAAATACATGTTTACAATAAAAATACACTTCTTTAAAATTTTACATTAAAAATGTATCTTAATTATAAACACTTTAAGAACCTAGAATATAAAATTCATAGAATTCTGAGGTTAAAATTAGAGCTACACCAATCATCCCCAACACTACACCCTCTCCTTTATACAGAAACAGTACACATGTGTGACACACACACTTTCTCTCTCAGGAGAGCCAGATGCCTCCAGCCCTGAACCACCTGCTAGCTTCCAGAACTATAGTTCTTTAAGACATACATTTTCCCTTAAGTAAGATAAACCTCTCCTGAACTTACCTGCTGTTAGGTTTTACAGTCTTGTTCAAGTCTCTGAATCATTCATTGAAACGACCAGTTTTAGAAATGTAAAGCACATCTGAACCAGTTAGTGTGACAAAATACTTGAAGTTAAGACAGTCCAAACAAAGCATCATCAAACGCCAACTTACATTTAACTTGCCCTGTATGACAGCCAAATGAGCTGACTGCAAGTCAGAATAGAGAGATTCAAGGAATGGTATCTCATAGAATAAAAATTTAGAGTATATGAAGAACTACTTTTATCTTGGATTATCAATTGTTCACTTGAAAAATATCATAACCTAAGTCCATTTAACAAATGCAGCAAAACAAAAAACATATGCTACAATTTCTAAAGCACAAACTACTTAAAAGCTTGCAAATTACAGTCCCTCTTAATGTGCACACCAGTGATATCCTATCACATTGGGTCAAAGGTCAAAAGCAGTGTTTCTCAAGGTAAGGCCCACAGCCATTATCACCTGGAATCTCCTTAAAAATGTACCCCAGACCCAATGAATCCAAGCTGGGAAGGAAGATTTCAGGAACGTGCATTTTTACCCTTCCAAGGTAAGCACACTTAAATTTGAAAACCACTGGTTTAAGGGTGAGGCCAATAAGGAGAATCAGAGTAAGACTGAAATACTAATGGAAATGCTAACAAATTCAGAGATCACCTAAAAAGTGATCAAAGCATTCCCTTTCTTCCTTCCTCACTAGTAGCCCATTATCAAAAAACTGATGAAAAAAATGTGGCCTTGGCCTGTCCCAAAGGCAGTCTGGAAAATTCCTAAAGATTTTGGAAAAGACAAAATGTTTCCCCACAACTGCAAACGTGGAAAACAGACCATCAAATGCTTACAACCTCTTTCGCTCTGAATGCTTCCACAATACCTTATGGTTGAGTAACTAACGGTTTTTCACCAGCCAGTTGTGTGTCTAAGCTTAATCTTGTCCTTTTGGCTTCCTTCAGTAGTGCCCATTTCAGAAACATCTGGTGTTACTTCTTATTCTTAAGTTCTTTCAAACGTCTAGTGTTAAGTAAGGATGTAAGACAGAAAATACTGAGATGACTGTATCATACCTGTAAGGCCAATATTGCTGTTAGCGTGCACAGTGCCCTACACCCCTGTAACTGCACTACTAGCCTTGGCAGCCATCTTGGATATGAAGCCTGGCTGACAAGGAGACCATGAAGAGCACTGTGAGTAAACTGCCCTTGTTACCATCACTATAGCTACAAACAACTCTAAGGATTAATCCTAAAGATGCAGTTTGTAGCTCTGCCTTCAAATACGAAAAATAATGTTACCGCTCTAATAAGCTACAACCAAAGCTTTAGCAAGTACGATTTGGCGACAAGGAAGTACGAGAAATAAAAATTGAGGAAAGGAAACGGGCCATTCATTTTCTTCCAAATGTTACAGTATGAGCAAATAAAACCAACTGTTGTCAAAACAGCCCTAACGTGAAATTTATCAGAGGCATTGTAAAACAGCATATAGTGAAACACTAAACAAAGGAATTATAATCTTAGTCAAAACGACATACTTTCATTATCAAATCACGTTGCCTCTAGAGGTTAACAAGTTGTAAATAACCTACATAATTAGTGGCTCACATTTTCAAATACCAATTTCAGTAACGTATAAAAGCATGATGAGGATAAAAACGTGGTGGGCCTGAGCCTAACGGAATTATACCAGATCTTAGCTTTCTCAGTTTGCCGTAACTGGTAAGAGATGGCTCACTCCACTTGCCTTTTAAATCGCTTTGTACCTTTCAAGTTAGCTTTAGATTAACATTTAGCTGCAAAACAAAGACAATCTCTAGATCCACTAATCCTTTCAAGTCACCAAGGAAAACAAAATCCCACTAACAATACACCAGAGGTGGCAACCTACACAAGCTCCAACAGTCCTAAGTCCGCAAAGCCTACAGATGGGGCAGAGCATGCAAGAGACAGGACGAGGATTCAGCGGCGGTCATCTCACCTGTTGATGAAACCATATCCGTTTCTTACATTGAACCATTTTACTGTTCCCAAAACCTTCGTTGCTGGAGGAAAAAAAAAAAACCCACAATTACCAGACATCCTTTTTTTTTTTTTAAACCGCCACGCATCAGCATCCGGTGGCTCCCGCGTTCCCCGGCGGCGGCCAGCGGCCACCTGACAGCCTTTCTCTCCAGGGCCCGCCGGCCAGCCGCGCGGTCCACGTGGGTGAGCCCACAGCTACGGAGGCCCGGGGCGCGGGCCCGAGCTGGGTGTGCGCGGGGACCGCGGGCGGCGGGCGCTGCGGCGAGCACGTGAGAAAAGGGAAGCCGCCCAGCCCACTCCGGCCTGCGTAGGCGGCGCGCCGCGCCCTCCGAGTACACGCGGAAAGGAGCGGGTGGGGGACGCAACAACGGCGTGCGGGCCCGAGCGCACGCGGCCGGCGGGCGGGCGGGCAGGCGCCGAGGGGAGGGACCCCGCCGCACACGCGGTCGGCGGCGCGCGGCCGCCCAGGGGGAGGGGCGCGCGACCGCGCGGGGTCTGCAGGGGGCGCGGGAGGCGGCGCAGGCGCGCCTCGGGCACGCGGACCGGCGTCCGCGAATGGGGGGCGCTGGGGGAGGGGTGGCCGCGCGCCGCCGAGTCGGCCCCCGCCGGCCGCGCGCCCGCCGGCTCGCCCCGCCTC